GTGGAGACACAGGTACTGCCTTCAGGGAGCTGCCAGTCTGAGGGGCAGACAGGCTTTGGTCTCAGAGAGCCCCCAGCTGGTCGAGCAGACAGAGCCTCACCTTCAGGGAATCTCCAGTCCAATGGTAGAGACCACCGTCTGGTCTCAGAGATCCCTAGTTTAATTTTTTTTTTTTTTTAAAAAAGCACAGTGTCTACCCTCAGAGCCACAGTCTCTGAATCTAGGACACCCCCAAATCCCTGGTCTCAGAGGAGACACAGGCCCTGTCCTCAAGCAGCTGACAGTCTGAGGAGAAAACCCAGTCTTTGTTTTTGAGGATCCCCAATCTGATGGAGGAGATAACAGGCTTGCCCTCGGGGAGTCCCATCTAAGGAAAAAAAAAAAAAAACACCACAGATGTTGCCCTTGGGGAGCTCCTGGCTGATGGGGAGACATTTCCCCAACAGGTTTCCCTGCAGCTGGGTTGCTGCCTGAGTGACAAGCAGCTGGCATGGCACTGCAGGCCACTCCTAGTACCCTGCAAAAGCTTCAGTCCAGTCCCAGCTGTGCCACAAACTTGCGCATGACCACTGGCAAGTCAGAATTTTCTCTAGACTCTGATTTCCTCATCTGCAAAATGGGGATTTTAGTCTCATATGTCAAAATGGCATGGAGATTTTCAGGTCACCAAAAAAAAGGAAAGCAAGCAAATGAGCCAGCCAACTAGGTAGACACTCACTACAGTCCTGGACCAGTCCCTGTGTCTCTGGAGAGGGGTAGGGGAGCTCCCAGGTGTGGTGGCTGGGCAATTCCAGACCAATGTGGCCATTAAAAATCACAAGAGGCTGTGGGGGCACTGCGGGATAGATGGGGGGAGCACCTTCTAATCTAATCACTCTTCTCTCTGAGACTCTAGTTCCAGCTAGACCTGCCAGGGGTTTTATTGGGCTTGTGGGGACCTGCAGATTTCAATCTTCAGACCCCACAGGGAAGGAACAAGCATTAAGCTAATTTTATTAAATGGCCACAGCTGGTAGTGGGGGGGGAAGTGGGGAATAGAAGGGAAGACAAAGAAAGTCATTCAAGTCTGCCAGCCATGACAAGGGTCCATACATGGGACCTGGCCGGGAGGGAGGCCGCCCCTCCTTCCTGTCTCTCCAGCTGAGCCAGACTGGGGAGGGGAGGCCAGATGGGACCTTTCCTCACTGCAGAGCCCTGGGAGTCTCCAAGAGGCTCACCCAATGGCTGCTGCCCAGGGCAGATGCTTGAAAATACACTAGGCCTCTGCAGGGCTGGGTAGGAGTGGAGGGGCTGGGCTCGGGCAATGAGGGGGGCTGAGCTGTCCCAAAGCCGTCCTTCCTTAGTTCTGCTTTGGAGAGCCCAAATCTTTATGAAACATGGTGTACTGATTAACTCTATGATCTTGGCAAGTTACTTAACATGTCTGAGCCTTAGTTTCCTCATCTAAAATGGATAGAATAACAGCAACCATGTAAAAGAGCACAAGAGCATTTCCTGGAAATCCATCCCCCCCAACACACACACCTGTGAGATAATATTTATGAAGTTCTTTCATGGTGTTTGACACAGAATGGGTGCTCTCTAAATATCAGCTATTATTATGACATTATTGTGACAGTCTGTAACTGCCTTGGCCCCAGTTACAGGAGGTAAGGGAGGCAGTGGCAGGCCATGAAAACTTAGTGTTTTATCGCCAAAGAGAAGGGCTTCTTGGATTCAAATGCAACCAGAGAATTTAGCAACTGTGTCACATTAAGCAGGCTATTTAACCTCCTTAGAAGAAGGGAGACTTTGGGTGGTTAATGCGCTGGGCTGCTAACTGAAAGATAGGTTCGAGTCCACCCAGAGGCACCTTGAAAGAAAGGTCTGGTGATCTACTTCTGAAAAATCAACCTTTGAAAACCCTATGGAGTATGGCTGTACTCTGACACACATGGGGTTGCCATGAGTCGGAGTCAATGGCAACTAGTTGCTGGGTTAGAAGAATAAAATCTACCCATCCAACCTCCCGGGGTTGTTGGAAGACTTGAGTGATGACATACCTGAAAGCATTTTGCAAACTTGAAAGTGATTTATAAATAGTAAATCTGTGTTTGTTAAGCATATACTTTGATTTCAACTCATAGCGGCCCATGTGACAGAGTATAACTGCCCCGCAGGGTTTCCTAGGCTGTAATCTTTAGGGAAGCAGATCACCAGGTCTTTCTCCTATGAAACTGATGGGTGAGTTCAAACAGCCAGGCTTTTGGTTAGCAGCCTAGCACTTAACCATTGCACCACCAGGGCTCCTTAGCACATATATTGTATTTCTTTAATCCTCAGTCGAGTGAGACAGGTCTCGTTAATTTACACTTTATGGATGAGAAAACTGAGGCCCAGAGGTGATTTACTAGGTCAAGGTCAACCAACTTTTAGTGCAAAGCTTGTTCCTTTAATTGCCACCACTAACCCAGAACTGAGTTTGGGAGGATGACTCTCCCAGAATCACACACCATGGCACTGGGACGAGAATCTAGGCTTCCTAGTTTAAAGCTTGCCATGCCTTTGGAATACTGAAGTCACTTTCAGGGATGCAAAAATGGAATTTTTCCACCATGGAAGATGATGATAATAACTGGGTTGCTTTCCATTCCAGCTGCCCATGACCACTTGGACTGTGCCGGGCATTGGGCGCTATTAAGGGTTGAACTGTGTCCCCCCAAAAGATAAGTTGAAGTCCTAACTCCTAATATCTGTGAATTTGACCTGTTTTGGAAATAGAGTCTTTAAAGATGCTATCAGTTAAATTAGAATGAGCTCATACTAGAGTAGGGTGATCCTAATCCAGTATGACTGATGTCCTTACAAAAGGAGGAGAAGAGACACAGAGAAGACAGCCATGTGAAGACAGAGGCAGAGATTGGAATGACACATCTACAAGACATACCAAGGATTGCCAGAAACCACCAGAAGCTAGGAAAAGGCAAGGGAGGATCTTCCCCTAGAGCCTTCAGAGAGAGCACGGCCCTGCCTTAATTTCAGACTTCTGGCCTCCAGAATTGTGAAACAATAAATTTCTGTTGTTTTAAGCTGTTCAGTTTGTGGTACTTTGTCACAGGACCCTAGGAAACTAATACAGGCCCCTGGCCCACCTCCTCCTGGCAGCTCTGACTCTGGCACCTGGCTCCCCCCAGACCCATGGGGAAGCTTGCACTAGACTTCAGCTCAGTGGGGAGGAGGGATGCTGTGAGACCTTGAACAAATCACAGCCTCTCTCTGGGCCTCACTTCTAGATCTGAACCATGGGGCAGTTAGAGTACATGAGCACTGAGGTCCATTACGAGGGGACAGCCTGGGGTTTCAGAGTGTGTCTCAGCCAGTGTCTGAACGCTACACTTCATCCTCCCACTTCTCCATTTTGGACCCAGCCAGTGAATTATTCCCCTGCAAATTCTTCAATCTGAAAGTGTAACCTCTTGCTGTCAGAGGGAATTCAGGGGTTGCAGATGCACTTTAACGTTAGTCTGAACAAACTGAATATGAAAGGGGAATTTTACAACAAAATATTATTGATCCCTTTTCAACAGTAACAGACATCTTTTGGGGGTTAGCTGGGATTTTAGATTATCTCCTCCACCCCCAGCCCTGGCCCCATCTAAGGTAAATCGTTTACATCTTGCATCTCTATTCCTACACTGCAGTCTCCCACTGCCGTCTGAGCTGAAGATGACTTCTCTTCCTGGGATGAATCTGCACCCTGGAGAGAAACGGACTCAGTTAAGTGGGACTCAGTGACAGCCTAGCTCCCTGTCCCCTTTCCCTACTCCTGCAGGCACCACCCCCTTCCTGGATTCTGCCCCCTCCACTTCTCCCCACTAGCCCCTTTTTCCACCCCAAACCTGCCTTTTCTTTGGATCCTCTTGGACAAACCCCAGTCCCCACCCCTGAACTGAGCCAGTGCCACCAGCTGTGAAAGCTGAGGGGTGATGCTCTACGGGACCAAGGAGGCCAATAGACTCCCGCTCCTTGAAATAAGAACCCCCTAGTGACATGTATGGAGCAGGTGGGCCTGGAGTCAGCCAGGCCAGCTGTTCCACCCTGGTGATGGTGACAGAGGGGTTGATGGTTGGGGAGATAGATATTCATGGTCTGTCTGGGCCTCAGCTGGCATGGGTTTTTAGTAACCTGGGCATTCATACCAGCTTCCAGTCACTTGGGCTATAAGTCAAAGTGTCAGGGACCCAGTTAAGAGATAGCATAAGGGAAGGATTTGAGGCTGAGTGGGGATGGAGAGGCTCAAGGACCAGCAGAACAGGGCAACAAGGAGGTCCCACTAGAACGCTGAGAGAGCAAAGCAGACCACACAGTCTCAGGGTGGGGTCTGAGATTCGGTTCTTTTTGTTTGTTTTTACCACCCACCGGGTAGGGTCCTACCTCAGGCCCAAGAAGAGGCCTGCTTCTCTGTTCTCATTTCTGCCCTTTCAAAGCCATCCTTTCCCAGTATGGAGGTGGTTGAAATCCACAGTCCCCTCCTGCAGTCCCTCCCCAGGGCACAGACTGAAACTTCGCGGGGTGAAAGTGTTTTTATTATAGCTTTGGTCAGACGGGGCGCAGCGGAGCTGGGCCGGGGCTTTGGGGGTGCTGGGAAGCTCTCCAGTCCCCAAACCACCCCTCCCCCAGGTGGCACCACCCCAGAGCGGGGGAGGGCAACCCATCTGAAAGCTGCAAGCGACCCACCGCCCCGACCTCTCCCTGGGCTGGGGTGGACTGGCAGCGGAGATGATCAGTAAACAGTCCTATTGTACAAATATACAGAGTGGGCCAGGGTGGTGGCTCTGTGGCCAGCCGGCAGGAGGTGGGAGCTGTGGCCCGGGCAGTGATGACATAGGCCGGGGCGTCAGAGCTGGGGAGGACCGGCAGATAGGGCCGGGCAGCGAAGGGGTGGGTGGGGGACAAGTCATCCTCTGTCTCCGCCAGAGGGGACCCCCGGGGGACGGAGGATGGAAGGGGATGCCAGGAGCTCAATCCGAGTAGATGATAAAGCCGGAGAATGTGCTGTATTTGTTGCTGTTGCCACCGTGCGCTTTGCCTCCATCGAGCTTGATGAAGACCTCGTCGCCCGCATCCAGGTGCAGGATCACGCTGTTGCTGGCATAGTCATAGTTCTGGTCCGCGTCCTGGGCAATGGCGCTGGCCCGTACCTGCGGGGTGGGGGGTGTGAAGGAAGGGGAGTGATGGTGGGGGGAGAAGGTAGAGGGGGAGAAGGAGAGGAGCAGGTCAGGGAGGGAAGGGGGTTGTCAGAGGTGAAGTGGCTGCACCAGGAGGGTTTGGAGGTCCTAAACCCGGCCACCGGTTCCTTCTCCACCCCTCTACAACTCTTTCTAATCATAACTTGTGTATTTGGGGAGGGGTCATAGAGGAGGCCTGGATTTCTTAGACAAGTCTAATGGGGGTCTGAATTTGAAGTCAACATGGAATCTTCCTCCTTAACTCATCTAAGTCTTACCATCTGGCCTGCTGTGGGAACCTCTAGGATGCCCCAGCCTGGAACTGCCCTCCTTGCAGAGAGGGATTCCCTGGACTCTCAGGATGGAGGGCCATTCCCTCTCTCATCATTCCTTCCTCTCTACTTTAATAATAACATTTCAGCCACATGCACCCTCTCTTATGGCAGTACAGTGGATGAACACAAAGACTAAGGGTAGCCCCATAGTTCAGGTGGCTGGGCCAATGCCAGACTACTAGCAACCACCCCAGAACCGGGACAGGTCTTTAGGCTCCTTGTCTGAAGTTCTTTCCAGAGTCTCTCACACACATCCACCCACCCACCGCAGTAGTGATGGAAGGCCTGATCATCCTTTCACCTCCCAAGGTTCAGATTAGGCTGTAGCTATACCTGTGACTATTACTCCACTGAGTGGGGAGGGAGGACAGGCAGGATGATGTGGCAAGAGAGCACCAGCATTTAGGTATGATACCTGCCATCACTTTTGGGGGCTCTGACTATATTCCTAAGATATTGGGGTGGGTGCGTGTGTGTGGTGGTGGGTGAATTCCCTCCCGGCATTCCTTTCTAACAGCTGAGGCCACGAAAGCCCTGAGCCTCAGGATCTGGGGCCTCTCCAGGATATCCTGGGTGGAGACTGGAAAGGAGGAGCCATCTCCAAGGTCCTTCTTGTAGGGGAAGAATGCAATGAATGGGATTCTTTCAGAAGGCTCCTCAAAGTCCCCTCTCCATCCTGCCCGTCCTGTGAAGGCAGCTCCCCCTACAGCTGATATTCTGGGCTGGTTCAGGCGAAATTAGGCGAGGGGCCCAGCCTCCCTCCTGGTGGGAGGCAGAACGGCAGGTCAGCTGTGCCAAAGTTGCTGACTCAGCAGCAATGCTGCAAGGATGAAAACCAAACATATTTGCATGCAGTCTGCCATTAAAGTCCAAATCTGTCCAGCCCCTTCTCTCCCCTCAACCTCTTCTACCCCAGCCTGGGAAGGAACTGTTTGGGCACTTAGCTGGGAAAACTCCTGATCTAGCTAAGGGGGAGGGGATAAAATGAGGGGAAGATGCTGTCTATCAATGAGCTCAATTTCTCTATCTGGAAAATGGAGAAAGAGACCCTGACTCACCACCACCACTTTTGTGAAAGCCTTTTGATAGTGAAGAAAAGGAAAAATTAAATCTTGACAAGGCTTTGAGCTACTAAGAAAGAGCTGAAAGCAAGCAGCCGACTTCAGTATTGTTCCCTGGGCCCCAATCCTGGTAGTATTTATTATTACACATGCATTTCATTATCTTTGCTAATAAATTACTACTAATAACAATTATTTTTATTACCCAGATTAATTTAGCCTTAACTCATTAAAACAGTGTACTCCTTAATAGCCAAATCCATCAGATGCAGTCATCTGTCATCAGGAATCTCCTGGTGATGTGACAGCCATCAGAATTGTTATGCTTATGTTTATTATTTATTCATCACCATGATTGTTGTTGTAATTATCCTTATTATCCATGGAGGCAGGGAGAATTTATGCCCCTCCATCCTTAGACAGTGGGAGATCTGAGAACAGAACCCAGGGGTCCTGATCCGTTGCCCGATACCAGAAGCAGTTGAGGCACTCAGCTCTTGGTGGGGGCCAAGGGGATGTTTGAGGAATTGAAGTTGCCATGGGAGCAGGAAAGCAAGTCTGGGACTTGTCATGAGGGGGCACCCTAGAATCAATTCCTAAAGGTTTGCCAGGGGGGGAAACTGAGGCTCTGCTCTGACCAGGAGCCTAGAATGGGGAGAACACAGGGAACTTGCCAGAGCCTACAGATCAGTGCTGGGTCTCGGATGTACAGGCACGGCTCCATGGGCAGCCAGCCTGGCTCACATGGACGCTTGAGCTTTCACACACTTACTGGGCCCCTACTGTCCTTGGGTGGTGCTCGACGGCTAATCATGTGTTAACACTCATGGAGTCACCATGAGTCAGAATCAACTCGAGGGCAACTGGTTTGGTTTTGACTTACTGTGCCAGGCACTGTGCTCTGTGCTGTGAAAGGCATTATGGGTCAGAGAAGATACCTGGGGACCCCTCTCTCATCACCAGGTGAGAAGCTGATCTCTAGTTAGGCCTTTATACCACAGCCCTCAATCTAGGTACCCCACCACCTCTCACCTCTGCCGGATGTAGCCTCTGCTGTCCAATCCCTTGACCATTTTTAATACTCATCTTCCCACAGCCCTATTCCCTGGACAAGGAGCACCTTGGCCATAGGCCCTGGCCCATCTCCACTCCCCCCTCCCCAGCCCAGTTTATCAATTCCGTGCCCTCCCTCACCCATCTCAACTGTAGGCAGCTCACCCCGCCCAGGGCACTACCCTAACCTAGCACCCCTTCCTCAGGTTCCTTAGGCTCTCCAAGTCCTAATGACCAGGGCTTGATGCCAGAGGGCTGGGGGTGGTGACTCAAAGCTACCCCTGGGGAGAGGGCAGACAAGGAGGCCAGGCCTCAGAGAAAGAGAGAGAAGAGGTCTTAGCACCAGGCACGAAGGTGGCAACACCCAGCAATCTTGCTCAGGGAGGGGCCAGGGCCTGATGTGGCTGTACCTTCCTGCAGAAATACTGGAAGCCTCTCTGCAGGCAGAAAGCCAGGGAGGAAAAACACAGAGCCCACGGTCGCCCTTGCTCCTGAAGGCATGGGAGGGGCAAGCACCTCTCCTCTGTTCCCATTCATCGCCCAGCCCTGTCCTTTTTCCTCTGCTCACTAGAACGTCCTCTTCAACCCGAGCCAGCCTTTCCCTACACTGTTCTCCCTACCCCTGTTTCCTCACCTCACCTTGGGGTTAGGTTCACCATCTTCTGCCCCCGTCCACCAATACTTATATACAGGATAGTCTGAGCTGGGGGCTGGCCCCACTGAATTGCTGCCCCCAGACAACACATTTGGGGACAGTAGTTGCCCATTGGGCTGCCAGCCCACCTTTAAGATGGCACTTGTTGGAGTGTGTTACTGTCTGATTACCACCGTCTCCTCTGTACAGAACATGAGTTCCAGGAGAGTGAGTAGACTGAACCCCTGGTACCAAGCCCCAAACCTGGCTCCTAGTAGGGGCTCCAAACAAATGTGTGGAATGACTAATGAGACTTAGTGAGTCTCTTGGGCAATCTGGAAGAAGTCACAAAGGATGCGTGTGACTTGTTTCTCTTGTTTTATTTGGCACGAAGGTAAATGGTCTGAAAGGTCAGTGGTTCGAACTCACCAGCCCCTCTGTGGGAGAAAGATGTGGCAGTTTGCTTCCCTAAAGATTACAGCCTTGGAAACCCTATGGGGTAGTTCTACTCAATCCTATAGGGTCGCTATGAGTTAGAATCGACTTGACAGCAATGGGCTTTTAAAATGGTCTGAGTAACTGTAGAAAAATACTAGGTCTTTGAAACCCCCAGTTAAAGCCACCTTGTTTTCCCCACTGGCCTGTGGCCCCACCTCCTGTGAGCACCCCTCATCAGGCTCTGCCAAAGCCCTACCCTGCCCTGCCGGAGGTAAAAGAAGGGGCTTTTGAGCCAGTTTCACCTTGAAGTGACTGAAGCGAGTGCCCCCTCCCCACGCATATACCCATCCTTGGGACCTCCTCTCACTTTGTCTCTCAGACCCTCATGCAACCTCCTGAGGTGGTACAGGATCTAGAGCCCGCCAGTGGGCTGGTGACCGCCACTATCCAGGCAAGCTGGGCCTCCAGCCCCCTGACCCCTCAGCTTGGTGCCAGCCCAAACTTTCTTTGGGAGAGGAAGAAATTCCATTGATGAAGGTGACATTGCTGCATCCCTTATTGGTGATTAATAAGGGGAATTGTGGGACTGTCTGCAGAATGAGCCTTTGCAGTATACTGGGGCCTCCCATTTGGTCAGGAACCAAGGACAAAGAGAAGAGACACAGGGACGCCTGACAGACACAAGTGGGAGAGAGAGACACAAGGAATAGAATGGAGGGGGGTTAGACCCAGGGGAGAGAGGCCAGAAACCCAGGCAGAGACAGACAAGAATGGCAGACGCAGGGGAGAAAGAGACAGGAAAGAGACTGAGATAAGGGGAAAGAGGCAAGGGAGGGGCAGAAACCAGAGAGAGAAGCAGGCAGGGAGAGAGAAGGGGCAGATCTACAAGCACCTGGAAGGCTTTTTGCTGACTTCCCAATGCCTGCCCACACCTTCGCCCCCCCACCCCCCCACCCCCCCAGCCTTGAGAACCCCACAGGGCAGCAGAGCCTCAGAGCAGTGCTGCGTGGGGAGGGTTCCAACAAGGTCTCGGGTCTCAGTCCCACCAGCCCAGCTTGAGTTCTGAAGGGTGAGGGCTCCCCTTCTTCCACCAGAATGCTCGGCCTGACCACGCCTGGAGGACCCAGGCCACCGTGGGCTGGGAACGCTGAAGCGGGATGGGCGGGGAGAGGGGGTTGTTGTCGAGCTGGGCAAAGTTGTCGCTCTGAAGCAGGATTGGGTCGAGGTTAGTTTCCCGGCTGGCCGCTCCAAGGAGAGCGCCTCGCGCTCTCGGATTCTCACGCCAGAGTCCCCTTGCGCTCGGCGCCTGCCAGCTCCGGTCCATGGGTTGGGGACAGGGAACCGAGAGGTTCCCCCCACACTCAAGGAGTCAGGAGGGGTTGGATCTGGGAGTCCAAAAGGAGAGGGAGTTTCCTTCTCTTCGCCCCGCCTCTGGAGGAAAAACTTTTCCCGGGAGGCAGCCCTCTTACGCCCGTTAGCTCAGGGACGGATGGGAGGGGCTACGCAGTACCGGTTTTTGCCAAGGGTGTCAGATTCGCGCCGTGGTCCCTTCCGAGGGTGGGGGATGTATAGCCAGCCAGGCTCTCTTTGCCTTTGTGCCCAAAATCTCTCCTAAAGCCCGCCTTCTCGGCTTGCGCGCATAGCCGCGCGCCCGAGCGCCCGCGGGTGCCGAGGCTGCTCTCCCCACCCGCTGCCCCGGAGCCCATCTTTGGCCTCTCTATCGCCCGCTGGTACCAGCCTGAACCTCAGCTCCCAGATGCCACCTCCCCAGGGTCAAGCCCCCAGGGGCCAGTCTGCGTGCCCGGGAGCCCGAGCCCAGCGCTCTGACGAGTTGGGCTAGATAACCGCATTTCTGTGCCGCCGGTACCCCGCAGCGTCTCCCTTAGCCTGCTCCTAGGCACCAAGGAGTTAGGGATGCCAGCAGGCGCTGACCATCCGCGCATGTGATGCCTACATGGGGCTGCTATGGGGTCTCCAGCTGCGCCGCCTGGCGCGCCCGTCGACTCCGAGGCGGTGCCTATCTGCCCCGGGCTCCCTGGGTGCCCTGCCCCCAGGCCGGCCCCATGCCCCCGCCGGGCCCACCTGGCCGTTCTTGCAGAGGTCCGCCCACATACTGGTGCCGTCGCCGCCGCGCATGAGGACATGGTAGGTGAAAAAGTAGGTGCCAGGAATGTTGCACGTAAACTTGCCGCTGGCTGCGTCGTAATTGTTGCCTAGGTTGGTGACCACATCGTCGAACTTGAGCACTTCGTAACCCTCGTGGGGGTTCTTGAGACCGGCGTAGAAGGCCACGCGCGGCACCGTGGTGTAGGTGGCCGTGCTGATGGCACCGCTGCCCCCCGCTCCCGGCAGCCCAGGGGGCCCTGGCTTGCCCGGCTCACCCTTCTCCCCGGGCGGCCCCACGGGTCCCGGAGGACCCGGGTTCCCGGGAGGCCCAGGAGGGCCCGGCTTGCCGGTGCGGCCCGGCTTCCCCTGGGGGCCCTGCACCAGCGTGGAGGGCGGGGACGCGCCGCTCTGCTCGCTCAGGGCGTCGCCGCCGTCGGGCCGCGCGCCGGCGCCGGGGCCCCGCGCGGGGTAGGGGTCGCACACCATGCGACAGGTGCCTAGCATCTCATAGTGGCCGTCCGGGCCGCCCGAGCTCACCAGCACGGGGATGAGTACCACCAACACCAGGAGCATCACCACGCCCGCGGCGGCCGCCAGCAGCGTCTTCCGGCCGGCGCGAAGCCTGGGGAGCGCCGGGCCACCCGGCC